TAATTGACACATCTATCACACTCTATTCAAGTCTTGAGGATCATCACAGAAAAGGGGGCAGAATAACAAAGAGCAGAGTAGAGGACATCTGCAACACAGCTCTGTTTTCAGAACATGATAGGGCCATTGCACATGTGAACTCACAGCATAACTATAATCTCAGCACTTGGGAAGTCTGGAAAGGAAGATCAAGAAATCAAAGAAATCCTCCAGTGTATAGTGAGTTTGAGGACAGTCTGGTCTATAAGATCCTATCCATCCAAAACCAAAAAGCAGTCAAAGAACCCAAAGTCTGATGACTGTAAGAGAAGTCACATTGGTTCTTTTAAGCCCCAGTTTGTGGTCTTTGTTGGTGCATCTCTAGGAATCTAACACAGTAAAATAACATAAACTTGAAATTTTACTTAAAAGAACAAATATTTTAAAAGGCAATAGCTACCAAAATTAACAGAAGTAGATAGACTGTCTAACTGGCCCTAAGTCCATTAAAGAAATGTTATTCCTAATCAAGTAAATATCTTCTAACAAAGAGATTGCCAGGTCTAGATCATCATCCAACTGATAAAATTCATCCATGATTTAAGAAAATAAAGTATAAACTCTACCAAAAATTAAACTTTCAAAATATAGAGAGAAGATAAATACATCTTCCAAATTTAAAAAAGCCACTATTTTCTCCATATTAAAAACTGAAAAATCTTTTTTTTAAAATAGCCACATGGCTCACATCTGCCTGTAACTCGAGTTTGAGAGGATCAGTGCATTTCACTTCAGGGTTTGGACACGTAAAGTGGAACCTGTGTCACTCCAAGACTAGTGACATAGATCAATGAGACAGAATAAAATATTCACACATTGACCCAAACAGTTATCATCAATTTATTTTATAGAAAGGTACCAAAATAGTTCAGTGGAAGAAAGACAGTGTTTCAACAAATACAGCAAAAACCTAGATAGCCATGGGGAAATAATTGTGAACTTCAACACTTTGCTCAAAAACACTAACTTGAGGGGGCTATACCGATGGCTGGGTGAGTAAAGGAGCTTCCTACTCTTCTAAAGGACCTGAGTGTAGTTCTCACACCCAAGTTGGGTGGCTCACATCTGCCTGTAACTCCAGTTCCAGGGGATCTGAGCCCCTCTACTGGCCCTCTGCAGCCACCTCCATATATCTGGTAAACATGCTCACAGAAACACAATAAACTAAAATATCAAAAAATTAAAATAATTAATTAAACTGACATTGGTATTAACTAAATGGGCAAGTCAAACAGAGAAAATGATAAATCAGGACTCAAACATTTTTAAAATTTCTTCAGTGATATAGTTCAGAACATAAAGAGGCAAAATAGTGCAGGAAAACATTTATTAAACATACATCTTACAAAGGATTTTTATTGAAACTGCATAAAGAACATTTACAGTGCTGTAATTAGGAGACAGATAAATACAAACCAAAAAGAAGAAAGCAAAAACGGAAAGGCATGTGACAAAGAAAAAGACAAAATGACCAATAAGCACATGAAAACACACTTCTCAGTGATGAATAGGTCACAAAATGAATCAAGACAGAAACATTTTTAAACTACTGGAAATAAATGAAAACACATTACACCAAAACATCTCAGGCACCTTAAAAGGAGTCCTAAGAAGGAAATTTATATCTCCAGTTAGCGGCATGAAAAAAAAAAATCAGAAAAAGCACAAATAAATAGCTTAGTGACTCACTGCAGGTGTTTTGGAAAATGTAATACTGAGCAAGGCTGCACAGAAGAACACCATATAGTGGTTCTCAAATTAGGAGTCCTCTATAAGCTAGCTAGCAAGCCAGTGTTCAGAGAGGGAGCTAATGACCAAGAGAACTCTCGACCCGAGGGATAAACAGGGCAGGACTTATAAAGCTTAAAACCACAATTATGTCATAACAGGGGTAAAGCCAATAATCATAGTTACTTCAGATCAACATAGTTACAGCAGACCAGGAGCAGGTCAGAAAAACGGAGATATACAATTAATAAAATATTTTGGTTTTGAAAAAAACAGTTTCTCAGAATGCAGAAACAGTCGGCTCCATAGAGATGCAGGTAGAGCTGAGAGGGGGGACATTCTATCTGGACCTCCTACCTGGCAACTCATAAGTTTCTCAGTATTATAGAAACATTGTACTCCCTGAAAATACCTGCATGACATGATTGGCCTGGCTGGCCACAGTGGGAATGGGTGGGCAAAAACACAGGGTAAAGTGAAAGTCAGCTAGAACAAAATAGAGTTAGTTTTGCGATTTCAGAAACAAACCCTGGGAAGAGATAATAGAAATCAGGGCAGAATTTAATGAAATAAAAAATTAAATTAATGAATCTAAAAGCTGGTTTTAAAAATAAAAGTGTGACAGACCCTGAGCTGCATTAATGAAAAGAAAGAGAAATGCCAGGCATGGTGGTGCATGCCTTTGATCCCAGCACTCAGGAGGCAGAGGCAGGTGGACCTCTGTGTTTCAGGCCAGCCTGCTCTACATAGTGAGTTCCAGGCCAGCTGGGGCTACAGGGAGGCCCTCTCTTAAAAAGACCGAAAAAAGAAAGAGGACACCCAAATTCAAAAGTTAAAAAAAAAAAATCACTTTGTGTGTGGGGGGGGGTTGTCTCTGTGTGTGTGTGTGTGTGTGTGTGTGTGTGTGTGTGTGTGTTTGTGTGGTGTGTGTGTGCGTGTATGTGTTTTCAGATAAGGTATCTCAGTAGCTGCAGCTGAAACTCACTATGCTCAGTATAGAGACCAGCTGTTTTGATTTCACCCCAGCTGTTTTGTTTTCACTGAGATCTTCGTACCTCGGCCTCCTATATATAGCTTTAATGATGTTAACCCACACAGTGGCATAATGCAACCCCCGGGAGGTATAGACTATCTAACAAAACATCATTGCACAGCATGAGATACCTCCTTCGGGGTTATTGGTCAGGGAGCTCCAAGAGCTGCAAAACAATACAGGCTATTGACTTGCTCTTGGTTGCCCTACAGAACATCAAGGTAACACCCTGTTACTGTAGTCACCACACACTTTGGACAAAGGACCTGGAGAAATCAACCTAGTAATGATATGGAAACCTCTTCCTTGAGAGATTTCTCTCATGGTGTTGGAAGGAGCTATGCAAGATGCTAGGGGAGAAAAGTCACCAATGTTCCACCCAGCAGTGAAGCCTGTGAAACACAATGACAGGTCTGACAAGATAACCCTGCTGTACAATAGTGGCACTTGTACCTTGGAAGCAACAAGTAATATCTAACTGAACCTCAGACGCCCACACGTGGAGGGAACTAATGCCTGGTAGTATAAAACTAGCCAAGAACCCCTGGATGGAGAGGCTATCAGCCCTAGAGTAGTACCTTTCACTCCCATATCTTCCAGCTGCCTTTTACTTACTCATCCTTAAAGATAAATGCAGCTCTCCCATCTTATCAAAGAAGTTTCTTTTTGCAGCAGATGAAGGCTGATAGACAGTTCCACAATGGGTCAAAATACAGAAGATAAATGTCCTTGGGGAGCCCAGTCCCTAATGGGACATCGATACAACATTCTGTACCCCTAAATATAAGGGAGCATTACAGAAGAAGGGGACAATAAAAGAGCCTGAAGCCCAAAACAATTGCTGTGTTATAGCTTCTTCTGAACAAAGCAGGAATGTTGCTCACATGAACAGAACATGCAAAGGCCAAGTACCCATCGACATGCCAAAACAAAGAAATATTTGACAAGGACACACCATTGATGAAGCGCTACAAGTAGTCAGGGGATGCTGAGAGAATGAGGACCGATTTGTTTTGGTTCTGGTTTTGGTTAGGTTTGAGGACGTAGTTGGAGGAATAGGGGAGAAATTGGAGAGGGAAGAAGTGGGTAGAAATGATAGAAATGATGTGCATATACTGCGTTCATGTATGAAATCCTCAAACATAAGGAGGCATGATATTTACAATGTCAAAACCAAAATAACAAATCATAAGTAAAACACTATTCATCACTAAAAATTGCTAAAAAAGGAAATCAAAAGTGAGGACATTGTATCATCCTGAACATGGAGAAAAAAATTGACTTTGCCATCATTATAAAGAAAACTGACAAATATGAACATGGTTATGGATGAGAACACATTACAGCGTCAGTACTGAATTTCTTGTTTTGGTCATTTTAGTATAATTTTATAGGAGAAATTGCTTGTCCTTGGAGAATATTTTGGTACAGTTTGGGTATCATCATAATAATAACATTAATTATTATTATTATGATTTGCGTTCTCCAGATAGGTGCTTACTTGGTAGTACAGGATAACCACAAAGGTGCTATGTATCATAGGCTGACCTCAACCTTATGCACCTATAAGATTACAAGCCTGAGCCAGCACATCTAGCAGGCCTCAATTAGAATCACTGTATCTACAAATGGTTCAGCAAGAGACAAACTAGAGACCATGGAAAATATAAATAACCTATGATTATTGGCAAGGCTTGTTTGAGAGTTCCTTGAAATACTCTTGCAACTATTCCTCAAGTTTGAAATTATATTTTCTGGAAAATAAATGTTTTCAAAGAGGATGACATTTTCTAAATGCAAAAAATAACACAAAGTAACCAAAAAATAAACAGAAACACAGGTATATTGTAGAAACCATGTCATCAAAGCCAAAAGATATTGAAATTATTAATCCTATTGTAATGAAATATCTATTTATCAAAATGTTTTATTTGGTTCTGTGGGTGGCTCGGGACACAGAAAGCGATTCCTCAGGTCCTGGGAGCAAAGGAAGGCCACCCTCCAGACAAGCTGCTCTGTCTCCTCCAGGAAGGAAAATGGCTATGGTCTGGTAAGTCAGATTCCAGAAGGTCATTACCTTCCTCCTCTGGCTCCTCTCTCTGTTTGCCCAGTTGACTAAATCCTGTGGTCAGAAACATCTCACTGTGAGCGGTCACAGACTACTACAGGAAACACAAAAATGACAATGTTCTGTGTTTACCTTTCCTTCTTGTTGCACCCTGAATCACAGAACGTATCCACTCTCTTTTCACAGATGCACGGGTAGGTTTTACCACAGTCACTATCATCTATTCTTGTTGAAGTCAAAAATGCACACATTCCTGTCGGACGATTTAAATTCAATGCTGTCAAACTGCTGTAGAACAAGAAACATAATGGGCAATTATTTATGGTTGAGACTTACACTGAGGTAAATTTTGTTCATTTTTAAAAAAATTCTATTAGTAAAAGCCAGGCATGGTAGCACACACCTTTGATCTAAGCATGTGTGAGGCAGAGCCAGGCAGATCTCTGTAAACTCAAGGCCAGCCTGGTCTACATAGGTAGTTCCAGGCTAGCTGGGGCTACAGGAAGACTGTGTCTCAAAAAGACCAAAAAAAAAAAAAAAAACCCATTCTTTAAAACTTACAGAATATAGAAATATTAATCATAAATTCATCACTAAGAGACTTTTTCTCCTAAGTTCATTAAAAAGAAAAATCTGCTTGATTGCATCCAAATCCTAGTATAAAATCTATATAAATATGTATATATTTAAGATCTTTCAAGACATAAATGACAGCAGATCTCACACAGTGAATCAGGCCTGTCATCTGAGCCGTTGGGTAGTAGAGGAAGGAGGAGTAGGCTTTCAAGGCCACCTTGCTCTACATGAAACTCTGTCTTATAGCAACAGAATAATAAAAATTAAAATGATTTTTAATAAATATAAAAGGGTATTTGAAAATATAAATAGCTAGCAAAGTTATTTAAAGAAAAATACAGAATTCCCAAGAACAAAAGTATAATTGTATTTCTGAAACAATCCATAAATAGTTTATAGAAGATTAGAAGCAAATATGAACTTCATAATTTACATGGCTGCACGTTAAAATGGAAAGTATAAATACATAAGAATGTGTGTACATGCATTTATTTGAATATTCATAAATAAACATAAAAACTACCTATATGTGTCATATGATTGTTGGGGATACTAAAACTCATATCTGTCAGGATGATCTAGTCACTTCACATCACATTAAAATTTTTACTTGGTTTGATGCCATGCATCTTAGAACATACTTCTGTTAAGCATTATGTTGCTTATATTGCTATTAGGAGTCATAAGCCTGTTTATCTAATTTTTCAAACAGCTGGATCAAAAACTTTCTTATTCTTCTTGTTCTTACCACTGACCTCCATTTGATATGAGTAAAGCTGTGTGAAATTTTAGGGCACTCTTATAAGGTCCTTTCAGCTCCCACACCAGTGTTAGAGTCTGAATGATTCCACAAACTCACAGGTTAGATGAGCCACTGTCAATCCATTTCCATTTCCTCTCCCGTTTATCATATGATAATCCAATCCAGTGACTGTTTCCATTAACCTGGGACCGAAGGAGGTCCTGTAAAGGAAATAAAATACATTTTATGATAAAGTTCTCATCTGTGAGCTGACTAAACAGAACAACGGGAAAGGGAGGGGCTGTTACTGTCAGTTCTCTGCTGCCCTGTCCTCTCTCCCCTCAACTCTCCATTTTTCATTTTCTAAAGTGATTTTCAATTTGTAGAACAGTTATGTCAAAATTCTCAATCCTCCTGCTTCTGGCTTCCAAGTACACAGGCAAATCTGCCTCATTATATGATTCTGGTACTTTAAGGAACCATTTAAACTCTTGTTCCAGAAGAATAAGGGCTGTGGGGAAGTGGTCATTGCATAATCTTGAGTGACAGGAGGGATCATCAAAACAAATTATGATGAACAGTTTATATGAAAAAATGCATCAAAACTCCATTTTTCACAGCAGAAACATTTCCTTTGTTCAATTCAATATCTAGACCATATAAGAACAAGAAGAAGGAAAGGAGAAATATTTGTGACGTAAATATGTTATAATGTGAGTTAAATATATTATCAGAGTGGCATGAAGTCTAGATTACTGAATTTTTAAATACAGGTTTTAATTTAAAAACATTTCTGCATCATTGGAAAATTATTTCACTATTTGTGATTAATAATTATTTTATGTTGTAATTTTTAAAATTGATTAAATTTGGGACTTTTTGCCTCACTTTCATTTATAAGGAAATAGATATTTAAGGATGATCCTTGCAAGTTATTCTCTATATAAACACATTCTGGGCCTGGAGAGATGACTCAGTTCCCAGCACCCACATGGCTGCCAACAACTGTCCATAACTTGAGTTCCAGGGATTCTTGACCCTTGTCTAGCATCCTCAGGCACTGCACATATGGGTGCACTTATGTTTATGTAGGTAAAACACTCATACAAAGAAAATAAAAATAAGTAAATATTTTTAATTACACTCTATTTAGTAATAAACTTTACAGAGAGTTCGGTATCAAGGCCAGTATATTTTCTCTCTAGTAATTCTTTTTCAAGGATAGACAAATTTATACAATACTTAAGAACACTGATGAGGTAAATGTTATGGATGGACACAATGAATACCACCATGGGGCTGAGTGGTAAAACTGTCATGACTTCCATAGTCTTTACTATAATTTCTGTTTGCAGATAGAACCAGAGAGGTCAATTTACTTTACAGAGTAAATTGGCTGGTAAATGACATAGCCTGACCTCCTCCCAGCAATCGCACATCTGGTTTCTCGATAGTAACCCAGACTTTTATCTGTGGGGATTTAGTTGTCATTCTATGAAGATAAATAATTGTTGATGCCATGCTGAATTTGCCAAAATGTTAAACTTGATCCAGTGAAAGGATACTTCTCTGTGAGACTCCCTTCTGGACTCCTTTAGAAATGAAGCTATTGCAAAGACCCTACTGCAACCTTATTAACCACACTTATAACAGATGCAGTGTGCTGAATGCTTACAAAGTAGCAGGCCAGAGTCTCCTGGGAGAATTAACTGCCCAATTTCTGCTCATATTACAGATAAAACACACAGCACTTGAATGGTCTTCTTTCTAAACTCTTCCCTGGCCTCAGCATCTTACTATCCAAGGGTAAATAGTCCAAGAAATTAAGTGCATTTAGAGTGTACAGTACCCGCTCATCACTGTCATCGATTTTCAAAAGGGATAAACTGCATTTGCGGCAAGTCTGCCTACATCCATTCCAGTTTTTACTGTCCATGATAAAATAATAACATTTTGTGCCACAACAGAACCAATGTCCTTCAAAGTGTTTGCCTGAAATATTGAAGGTGAATCATTAGACTCTTATCTGATAATCTGCTAGTCAAAGCAATGAGTTTATTAAGCATCTATAACTAAATAGAATCTCATAACTCTTAAAACTTAAGATTTTCTCATATCTTATAACTCTTGCAAATCAAAATTCTAGAGTCCTAGGATACCTCTGCATGCCCATATCCCATGAAACATTGTTTATAAAAGCTAATATGCACAATAAAACTTCAATGTCCAATCATTGATACGTGGGTAGGTAGACAAAATGAAGCATAGCTACATAGAAGAATAGTATTTTACCTTTAAAAGGAAGAAAATCCATCTGGAAATGGTCAATAATACCTATAATCCCAGCCTAAAGCAGGAGATCATCACCATTCTGAATCCAACCAGACCAGGATACAGAGTTAAGACCCTGTCTTTCACCTCTCCCATAAAAAGAGACATCAAAACATGTGAGAATGTGTATGAACTTGAGGAAATAATGCTAAGTGAACAAGCCAGGCACAGGATAATACTTCATTATTCCATTCATAGGAGGTTTCTAACAGCCATAATCTAAGAAGCAGAGGCTTAAGATACGCGGTACTAGAGGATGGGACAACTGAAGAGTTTTAGCTCAGACACTTTCAGTTACACAGGGTGATTAGAATTTAGAGATTTCCAGTAACACAAAAGTTGTTCAAATTCTATTCATTTAAAATTTTGTTCAGATGTATGTTAAATGTTCTTAACATAAAAGGCTAAAATAGTTAGATGATAAAGCATTTGAAGAAGTTAGTCTGTTTTCCTGATTGTGGTAATGGTTTCACTGGTATGTCTGTGTTCCCACAATAAAATTGAGATAGATCTGTATGATGTTTGGGATAACAACAGTCTACTAGTAGACTGTATGTCCAGCTATTGTTTTCCTAGGTGATAAATTTGCTCAGGCTGGTTTTGAACTTCCTGTGTACCACACAAAGATCATAAATTTGCAATCCTCCTGCCTCAGTTACCTAATTGTTCAGATTATAGCATTATGCCCTTATATACAGATAATAAAGCTAAACTAAACTAAAATATTTTTAGTTTGGAAATGCCAAGAGCATTATTTTTGGAATTTTTTTCCTTTCATATATTTTATAATGTACCAGTTTTTAAAATAGTACTGATCATTTAATAGTGAAGATAATAAATTCCTGCTATCATAGAACAGTGAGATTATACACAAAACTCTTTGTAAACTAAATCCTGAACAAATGATGGATTATTATTGATTTGTGAATTAAAGATAACCAGCCCCTATACAAAATAGAAAAGTTTATTGATATTTCATATCATTATCTCTTGGGCATGATTAGTGTGATCATTACACATAGCTGCACAAGTGTGGATGCTATGATAAAGCTCATATATGTGCTGCAGGGAGGATATTTCAGGAACAGAAAGGTCAACTATCTGAAGCAAAAATAAAATGAAAACACACACATACACAGACACAATTATTTTTATAATTGCACTCATATAAAAGCCCTGGAGTCATTCTTACCCTCATTATTTAGTAAATACACTCTTACTGACGGCTTCCATATTCCATGTCACAAACAACGTGGGAGACTCAGATTTGCTCACAGGAGCAAAACGACCTGAATTTTCAGTGAGTCATTCTTACCCTCATTATTTAGTAAATACACTCTTACTGACGGCTTCGATATTCCATGTCACAAACGACGTGGGAGACTCAGATTTGCTCACAGGAGCAAAACGACCTGAATTTTCAGGGGAGACAGCACACTAATTCATGTTCTACAGGCAGGAGGAATACACACTGGCCCTGAGTGCTAGAAACTATAAGGTTTTGCTAATCCTAGCAGGTTTGAGAGGCTCCAGTTCTCTACCTGAAATAAGGAAATCCACTTATATTTAAGAGACCCCCACATTGCCCATGAGCCCACAGGTAACAACTCATTCACTGCATGTTACATCTCAAGGCTTTGAGAGAAGAAAAAATATAAAATAATTTGGTATTGTATTCAAGATTTCCTCCATACCTGTAGACTTTAAACAATTTGAAATGATCTCATGTTTCCCATGATATCTCTTCCTTTCTGTTAGGTTTTTGAGGCTCTCATACTCTATAGACTTATTTTTCAACAATTCATCCTTTAACTTCATTTCATATACCATGATGTGGTACTCTTGACTGAGGTTTATATTTTCCTCATGATGCTTTCCTTGACTGTGCTGAAAAACTAAAACTAATATCAGATAAAATAGAAAAAATGATTTTAAAGGGGAAAAAACTGAAAATTAACATACAAGAGAAAACCTCCTGTTGACTACTGACATAAATCATGACTTTGTTAGTATTTCAACATTTAGAAAATAACACAACTGACCATAGAAATGGAATCGTGACCTTCTCACTAGCAATAATGTGTAAAAAGCAAGAATTCATCACTATCAATTGAGTGTAAAATAAATATCTGAATAAAATTTTGATAAGAACCCCTTACATTTCAGTTCCTTCATCTATTCACCTAAAATAACTTACAAATAAAACCAAAGGAAAACAAATTTAGCCAACACAATGCATCATGAAAATAAGAATGCAAAGAAATGGCATAATTATTATTGGAACAGATGGAATTTCCATGGAAGAGTCATTTCGGAATATGTAGTTGTAGTTGTACATGGTCTATCAGTGAGTTTTCCTAAAGATGAGGAGGAAATTCAAATAAAAGATAAAGCTTAGACTCAAGATCTTCTAGTGTCTATGTACAGATCCCATTTCTTTTTTTTTTTTTGGAAAATTGCATCTAATTATTTTGTGTGTTTATATGTGTGTGGTAGTCAGAGAACCACTTAAAAGTCACTTCTTTCCTACCATGTAGGTCCTAGGCTTCCAATCCAGGTTTTCAGGCTAAACAGAAAGCACTGTGCCAGCTGAACTATCTTACTTGTCCTGATTCAGTCTTCTTACTTAACCATGTCCTTAACAATTACTTTTAAAAAATCAGAAAAATAACCCATAAATGCTTTTAAACAGATTTTTCTCAAAAATGTTTAGCTCAGATTCACAATCACCTGGGCACTGAAGTTGGAATTTTATTTAGTCCTCTGTTTAGAAGGAACATGATCACAGGTAAGACAGATCAAAAAGTTCAATGCACCCCTAGTTAAAGGAGCACATAAAGAGAAAAAGGCACAGCAGTGTGTCGATTAAAAAAAAAAATCCCTCAAATTCCAGAACCAGCATTATAGACTGGATATTAGATGGAGTGTGTTAGTAACTGCATGGTTAGTGTCCATGGTTATAACTTAAACAAAATGGTTTTTAAAAAATCATATATTTCAGTTACTCACTCTGTGTCACCCACACTGCACTCGTCACCAACAGAAGGAAACAAAGGATCCCAAGAACCACTGCAATGAGATGCCAGGAGATTGAACACTCTTCAGTAAGTAAGAACGCCAGAAAATCACCACAAGAAAAAGAGCATGCATGACCCATACTAATCATAACCGGGGGATCAGGAGTTCAAGGTCACCCTTGGCTATATAGCAAAGTCAAGACCAGTTTAGGCTACATTAGATCCTGACTCAAAAAGTCAAAACAAATAGAAATGCATTCATTTCTCCCTTCTCAAAACCTTCTTTAAAAAGCCTTGTATTGTACAGCTTTACCCATTTTGATCTCCTGTTACCAGGTGACAGTCAGAAGTGCAGGTAGGATGTTTTTCAAATGTGAAAAGTTTACCATGTACAGCAAAGAGACAAATTTAGATGTTCAAAACACAAACCTCTGTCTTTATTCTCTGTGGGCCTTTGAGTACCACCAGGTTTTACTCTACTCTGCTGCTCTGAAGAAGACATAAGAAATCCTGAGTGAGAATAAGGCTCTTCCTGCTCACTCATCTTGGAAGTAAGTGAAGTATCAAAACTTTGCCTTGGGCTGATTTCAGGCTAAAGAAAAATTAAAATGCAACCTTTAGGAATATTTAGGATTTAGTGCTGGGGGTGGGGCAAGCAGGTGGTATTATCTCCTTAGTGATCTTAAGCTGCAAAGCATATGGACTCAGTCTGATTTACATAAGAAGTGAAAATATTTTTGGAAAAATTAAAATGCAACCTTTAGAAACATTTAGGATTTAGTGCTGGGGGGGGCAAGCAGGTGGTATTATCTCCTTAGTGATCTTAAACTGCAAAGCATATGGACTCAGTCTGATTTACATAAGAAGTGAAAATATTTTTAACAATTTGCTTTATGATGTTTATATGTCTACTGATCTCAGCAATGATCAGGCAATGCAGAAAAACTTTAAAATGCACTAATAAGGTACCATCTATTGACACAGCCAAATTCGCTGAAAATATTCAACATAAAAAAAATGATTGGCAAAACTGATGCCACATTAAATCACTTGAAGTCAAAAGTTTTAAGCTATCAACAAATAAATATACTCAAAACTTTCAAGAAACAAATACTTTGCTTTAAAAATATTTGCAAAATTTCTGATTCATATTCATTGAACATATTCTTTTGTTCTTTTCAATTTCATATGACTTTATCTGTTTCCCAAGCTGTATTCCAGAAACCATCTGCAAAAGAATTATTTGAAAGTTAATACTGCAGCAGATTAACATTTCAGATTCCACATGTTATAAGTAAAAGTCTTCTGAGTTAAAGTCCAAACACATGTATTTTTAATCCCAAATAATTTTACGTAAACGAACACTTCATAAGTCACATTCCAGTATATGATGTTGTCAGAGGACCCTATGTTAAAACAAAACATTTCAATAGGTAGTTGTATCCAATATGATCATGAAAAGCAATATAGAAATTATTAAATATTATTTATAATTTACCTTGTTTCCTACATTAATCAGCACAAGATATCCAACAAATAAACATAAGAAAACAAATGTTTTATGTTTAATACATCCAATAAATGTCTTAATTTGTGATATTTTCTAAACTTATTCATATTTATCTGATTCTCTAAGAAAAGGGAATCATCCTACTACAGAATTTTTCAAAGTAGATTGATCATATGTAATCATTTAAACTAATTTAAAAGTAATTAACTCTGAGAAACCATTTGTGGTTATAGCACAGTGAGAAAGAGAAAATAACTTTATTCAGTGCTGGACTGCAGCTTTCATGTTCAGAGTAGACGCAGTTCTAACATGATCAGTAAGGACTTTCCTGTCTCATTCTCTTGCCACAATGTTTGAATTAAAAGCCTTTTCTGTGGAATAAATAGAATCACATGATGCAAAAACGGGTGGGAATAAAAGCAGCTGTTACCTGTATCTCAGTGATGCAGTGGAGTGAACTGGTCCCCAGGCAGGGAGGAGCGGGCCTTTCTGTCCTGTACCCCTCAGAGACTTCAAGACCAGAGGCAGAAATGCATGGCCTCAGAGTGACCCAGCAGCTCAAAATGTTCTGCCCCTCCTCTTGACGAAAGTGAAAAGAGGAAATTAGGTGATGAAAGCTGATGCTAATGGGGAAGGAAAGATGGTAGCAAAGTCCATATTCCTCTATTTGAATAAGTGCTTGATATGCTGAAAAATCATGTTCAAAGTTATTAGTGTACCAAAAAGATAAAGGAACAGATCTTAGAAAAACACTACTGGATGGAACAGCTCTCAAAATACCCTGTATTTCAGCTTCCAAGTGAAGCCATACATGGTCAAGCAGGACCTTTGACTTATTGTACACAGATGAAACTGGTAAAAGAAAGGAGCCAGAGGCTCCTCCTAAGCCCATGTGACTCCTGAGGAACAGATCCTCAAATGACCTTAAGTGTAAAAATAAATTGATTTATTTGGGCCAACAGAATGGTGTTAAATATGGAAAAGGAAAGTATAACCAAAGAGTAAAGTCTTCACTATATTTCTTTAAGAGTTCAAGGGATTACACTTCCCAAACATTAGGCTTGAGTCTATATAAAGTTATTTAGACAATTATTTCTCATTGATGATTTTATTTCTATTCGGAAAGTCCTGCTCAGATGTAAGACTTCAAATCTTGGTCTCCAATACTGTAGTGCCCACCTGTAGCTAAGGGAGACAACCACTATTGTTCTAAATTGATGGATAAAGTTGTTTTCTCCCCCTATCTGGAAGCCTTTGAGAGGGAACTGACACTGTTTCTAACCACTCCAACAGCTAGCAAAATACCTGAAAGCAAATCCCAAATCTATGACTCTAGAATCCAGCCTTGGAAGAGAAAAGAAAAATAAGGAGGAACCCAATAGAGGGATGCTTTTGGAAGCCCTGTCAAAAAGTCCAATGGACTCTCATATGGATATTTGAAAATTGCCCTGTTCTGACTTTTTTCTAGTTCCCTGTCTAGAACTTGTAATGCTAATTACTCTTGCCTTTACTTCTCCTTCACATCTCCTATTCACGATTCAAGGACTTTCTTTTCCACCTATAGATAAGAGTTATGTTATTTGGGAGTCTTATAGGTAGACCCATTGAAGGGGTACTCCAATTGCCTCACCCTGTGTCCGTGTTCAGTATGGAAGAAACCAGAGCTGTCTGCCTCCCGATTACCTGTCCACAAGCTGTGTAACCTCTTCAGAGGATGGTATGGTAAGAACAGGAGGTAGGAATTGGCTAGGCAGTTTGGGTACAAAGACCCCAAACAAAAGTAACCAGTTTCTTGGCTAAAACTCACAATGTCCTTGGGTCTCTTAGCAACATACTCTGTTCCAAAGGCAAAAAAAAATGTCAAAAGTATTTGGGAGCTCTTATCCAATCCTTAAAAGATTTTAGGATTCCTTCTTCAGAGGGGGGAATGTTAGAGTAGCAAAAAGCCCCATTAAAAAATGAAGAAACCTTATATGCATGTATAAAATTCTCATTGAATTATTTATTAGAAAAAGAAAAACTGCTGATAACTTTAGCAAAAATCTAAAGTTATTAAAGGAAACCACTAGTAAGAAGATGACTGTAGGCCAAATTCCAGCCCTGCCAGGGCCATTTCATAGCTTAGGCCTGTTTTCCGTATCAGAATTTAAACTGTACCATCAACATGGTGTTGTTTTGCACCCCACCACCCCCTCACCTCCTTCCAAACCTTTCCCCACAGATGGCCTGAGAGTGCACCCTCACACTTGCCTCAATTGGGGTGGCCACTGGACAGCGTTGAACCACAGATTAGTAAACCATCTGTATATAAATGTTTTTTTTTCGCTAAATGATGTGACTACATTTTTAGCTCCAAATTTTTTAAATGTCTGTTATAAATTTTATTTACTGTTACTATTTAAAATGAGAGATTATTTCTTATTTTTAAATTATATTTATTGCAAGCAATTTTCTTTAAGAAATACATGTAAAACAGTCACATTTGCACTGTGAAATCTTTGGTGTGTAATAGTCTAGTGTGTATATATA